TAATTACGAATAATAAACCTAATTCCTTTTATAGTTGGTAATACATTCTAACTATCATTTATTATTAATGATATATTTTCTTATTTTTTTTCTCTCTTTAATATGATTCAAACGATGTGATGGTTTTAAGCATTGGGAAATATATTGTTGGACACATTTTTTTTTCAATGAAAAATATTTAATATATATATATATATGTATATTTTTTTTTATAATAATTCTATATCAATTGTATCTCGAAGTTGTTTAAAAATAATATAATATCAATAATTTTAATCGAATATACGATATATATACATATTATGGAAAATAATTTACAAAATCATTTCAAATTTTTCGTTCAATTAAAACTAATCGTTGAATAAAATTCATTAAATTCCAATAAAAAAAAAATAAAAAAATAAAATAATTTGCATAACCGCAATGAAATATATCAAAAATAATTCCACGTATCCAATTAGTTATTTCTCTCGTCCAAAAATAAAATTATTATATAGTTGGTCAAACTAATCAAAACGAAGTTCAATTTCTTTTGAATATCCAAATTCTTTGAGATACCTATTTATTTATTCCACGTATCGTTCGTACAATTACGGTGGGTGGTACGGTGGATGAGAAGAAACATTTTTTTGACCATTTGTATATAAAAAAATTTCTATCTTTCTCTCTCTCTTTCTCTATTCTCAAGATTCTCTTTTGGTTTTCTATGAACGAATAAGCGACAAATTCATGCTTCGGTTGTAACCTTCTTTGGTGCGAGCACGCGTGGGCGCATTTACTTCGAACGGAATTACAGTCCTCACTTACTCTATCCTATCTTTCTCTTTCTCTCTCTCTCTCTCTCAGTCATTTTATATATATATATATATAAGTAACTGCAATCGCGAACCGTGACCGTTGCCCGTACCATCTGGTTTACGTAATTACACTAAGACACGTAGAAGAAGAGAACACAGGGACGAGCCCGTTTTCTTGCTTGCTTGCTTGCTATACTTGCTTGCTTGCTTGCTATACTTTACTTTATTTTCCTTTGCTTTAACTCTGGTGCTTGTATTTTTCTTTACATTACTTTGAAGACACACTCCGGAAGTAATCTTTGCCGTTACAAAGGTGTGCCTATGCTATACTATTCCACTATGTCATGCATACTACTTATAAATTCATTTTCTTTTTATTTTTCTGTTTTCTTATTTTCCATATAATAATTCTTTCCTCGTAATTTGTCGTGTTGACTGTTTTCAAATTGTATTCGTGAATTGTTCACGTTAGAATGTTTCTTCGGATTATTTTATTATATACGTATTTGTATTTGATGTTTTGATAAATATTGTTTTATCGTTTAAATGAAGATAATATGTTAATTAGATTGTTTTTATTAAATACTTTTTGTTTTTATATAATACCCTTTTTAATGTTGTTATATTTTTTCTAAATATCGAATGTACGGATTGATATAACCAGTTATTAGAAAATAATCGAGAGTCTTCAGATTATTTTATTATATACGTATTTGTATTTGATGCATTGATAAATATTGTTTTATCGTTTAAATGAAGATAATATGAAGGATGTTAATTAGATTGTTTTTATTAAATACTTTTTGTTCTTATATAATACCCTTTTTAGTGTTGTTATATTTTTTCTAAATATCGAATGTACGGATTGACATATACCAGTTATTAGAAAATAATCGAGAGTACGAAAAAATTATGAACCTGCTTCGAAACGTACCATAGACATTCACGAGATTAACTTATGTTAAGTTGCGTGACTGTTCGAGCGTGATATTCGAAAGTCCCAGTAATCGAATCTTAGAAGTTCGAACGATACGTGTATAAATTATACTAGGTGGTCTCATAATTATTGTATCATCCAGTAAATACATAAACTTATATATATATACACGTTTTGTTAAATAATTTTTATTCTGAATAAATAACAAATCAATTTTTTATCCCAATCAAATACTATATCGAATATAATAACATCATAAAAAAAAAAAATCAAATAATCATATTTTCCTTACGTTGAATAAAATTAATGAAACCGATTATTATTAAATTATTCTAATCGATATTATATTAACTTCTAATAAATTTAATCACTCGACACAGAATGTCATTATTAAAATAACGCAAATTATTACTTCGAAAGATTTCTTATATTAGAGATTAATAATAAAAATAATTTTAATCACATTGGATTTTTAAATCTTGAGATTTATCGACGTATGAGATAAATCAGAAAGAAAAAAAAAAGAAAAAAAAGAATAGAATGTTAGATTACACAAGAAGAACGTTGATTATTATTATTATTATTATTACGAGTATCGACTTCCTGAGAAAGAATAACCTACATTCGGTCAAGTGGATAATACAATCAAATGTAAATATGATTGATTGCAAAATAAGTTAGACTATGGAAAATAATACCACGCCCATTTCTAGCTAAACACTGACACGACATCTGTTAAAAGTATCTCTTTCTCTTTCTCCTACTGTGTGTGTTCATTCGAATAATAATAATCCTATCCGTTTGATGGGTTCTTTTCACAATGTGACAATCTTGATGATCAGCTATCATCGAAATGACAAGACACATTTAGATTTAAACGTTCTTGATCAACATTCTACGTCTAATGTTATATATGTAAATTTAAAAAATAAGGAAGAATATTATTTAATTTTTTTTTTGTTTTTTTTTTTTTAATTAGGAATCTTTTTGTGTGAGAGAGGAAATAATTAAGTTCAATGTTTTGGATAATAATGTGTACAATTTGTTTCGTATTTCGCGATTCATTCATAAAATGATATTTTTCTATTTTTATTTATGAAATAATATAATTCAATGGTTAAAAAAAATAGTAGACGTATTAATTATCAATCGTATGAATCCTTGATCTCAAATGTAAGAAAATTTGTTTCGTATTTCGCGATTCATTCATAAAATGATATTTTTCTATTTTTAATTATGAAATAATATAATTCGATGGTTAAAAAAAATAGTAGATGTATTAATTATTAATCATATGAAACTTTGATGTCAAATCTAAGACATATACTTATAGCACATGATTTGTAAGAGGTTGAAACGTGATCAATTAATGGATGAATTAGATTAGAAAATGAAAAAAGATGTGCATATGAGATGTTCAAAAAAAGATTAGTTCGATGATGAATACGATAAAGAAAATGAATATGAGTAAAACCTGGATAAAATAATTCGACGAAAGAAATGAAAAATAAAAAGAAATGGTGAAAGAAAATGATTCAAATGAATACGAATAAA